GCCAATAAGCAAATGAAAAAAGATGGCGCATCTTGAGGAAGATGGCTCGTGAAGTAGTTAAATCGACATGTATATTTAAATATGGTACAAAAGTAAGCTAAAAAAAGATTAATTTGAAAAGTGGGGGGGCCAGTTAACACCTCTGCCCCCCCCACCTTGAAAAGTGGGGGGGGGCATGGCCCACCTGCCCCCCCCCCTCCTCCCCCCTGTTCCTACGCCAATGCATTTGATGCGTTGGTATCAATACCTTTACAAACTATTTAGTGCGGGGAATAATGCAATATCATTGACTCAACCATGCGAGACTAAAATTGCATGCCTCCCTCAGCCACTCATAAGCATAAAGTTATAACATCGAGCATTTATAAACGCTGCTCATTACAACGCATCGGTGTTGGTGTAAGCAATTATTACTGAACCAAGCATCACATTTCAATGCTCGTGCTCATCGCCCCTTAAGGCAGCTGTTAGTCCAGGCTAACGAATACTTCTGGAAACCAATGACGTGCACGCGTTGGTCTCCGCAAAATACAGAAGAAGGTGAGGCGGATGCATTCATTTTTACGCATTCAAAGCATGCATTGGCGTGCCATTGAAAGCACGCCCTTTGTTCGGCGCGTTGTCCTCGCATGGTGGCGAAAGATGCATAGAAAAAACTTGCCAGCAAAGATCTTCAGATTATCCATTTCAGCATGTTAATCGTTCGGAAAATGTTGATTCCGCCAGGCGTGCATAGGAATGGTGAGAGACGCCTGGTTTTCACGAACATTGAACAATGACCTCATGGTGATGCATGCAAAGGATTGATAATACGAGGCGGTTTGGCCCGCCAAGTTTGGCCGTGTCCTCACGCTCCTGGATTTAAACCAAGGTACACATGCTCAAAGTAAGGAGCTACAGATCAGGCCGAGCGATTTGTGGTGCAGATTCGGTCGGTGCTTCGTAGCGCTCGTGCTGCGTGCTCGTTGTGTTGTGGTGCAGATTCGGTCGGTGTTTCGTAGCGCTCGTGCTGCGTGCTCGTTGTGTTGTGGTGCAGATTCGGTCGGTGTTTCGTAGCGCTCGTACTGCGTGCTCGTTGTGTTGTGGTGCAGATTCGGTCGGTGTTCCGTAGCGCTCGTGCTGCGTGCTCGTTGTGTTGCGCTCGGCGCCCAGCCGCAAAGCTGAGGTCGGGATGTGAAACCATAGAAAAGAGCTCGGTTACCAGATAGATGTCAGACAGAAAAGTTAAAGGCAGTGCGGTTTAGCTTGACAACTCGGCAGGCCCGCTGTGTGAATTATGTGACGTTATCCAAGCCCGCACGGCGCGCCACAAGAGCACGTCGTTGTACCACAGGCGCATGGGCTTTTCGTTGAATGCCTGGCTCAAGCTTGGAGCTGTTGCGTGATTAGTATGATGTTTCCACGTACAGCGTGGTTTACCGCCTGCCATTTGACGACAGGTGGATGCTTTGTGCAGCCCTGAGCAGCCAGAAGGCCAACCTTGAACCCAACGGAAGGCCAGCCTTGAACCCAACGTTCTCAGAAGACGTGGAAGACTTTCCCTATGTGCATCAACATGTTGACATATGTCCATTACCTAAGCGTCGTGACGAAGGCGACGGGCCTCTCGACCTGATAAATATCCACGGCAGGCGAATGATATCGATGTTGTCCCAAGCCTTTCAGCGAATGAAAGGATGAAAGCTATCAGTGGATGACTTCAAACAATTTGCAGTGATTTCGGCAACCGCGGACATGAAGTGGTGATCTTTGAGAGCCGGCTGGATATTTTCTTCTCTAAGAGATGGGTTAGGAATTTCATAGGCGCACGGTGCTTGTGAGCTTATGTTGATCGATTACAGCTTTTTGCTTTCTTATTTTTCTCCTGCGCAACGCGAAGATAATATTGTGAGAAGGAATGGGAAGAACCAAATAGCGACTAATTTACCAGAATAGAAGCTCACAGAATAGCGGTGCCTTCTCTGGCTGCTTCGTCAGCTCCATTTGCCCACCCCGGTCACTGGACATAGCCGTCCAATGGGCCCTCTGGCCGCTTAAGCGCTTAACGGACCACGGACTATCCAGGGGCACCTAGGACCCTCAGTGATCTCATAGAAAACCCAGGGTCTTCTGTGTGCTCTGAACGCTCGTGGACTTCTTCAGCAGCTCAGAACTTTTCTAGCCACTGAGGAGTCGCTCTGGCCATTCAGGAGCTCTTAGGCTGTTGCGTTCTCCTCTGACCAATCAGGGGCTTCACTGCCACCTTCGAATCAACCATGGACACCCCTGATTGCCCGAGGACCCTTTTGGCCTCTCTGAGTGCTCGTCTGGTTGCTAAGCGCCCAATTGCCGCTCAGTGGCTCGTTTGGTCGCAATAGCCCCGTAGCTCTCTGACCGCCCAGAGCGACCGCCGCCTAGCTCCGAGAGCATTAGTAAACACTCCAGGTTCGCTGTCTGCTCAGTGCCCCTCTGGTCAACCAGGGGTCGTTTAAGGTACTCAGGAGCTTTCCTGGCTCTTGACGGCCACTTTGGCTTCTGAAGAGCCCTCTGACCCTTGAAATGCCCCTGTGAGTGTTCAGAGGCCCTGTAGGTTACTCAGGGTCCGTTTGGTCGCTCAGAGCCATCTGTATGCCCTTGGCTCTGCGGATACTCGCTGTCTTTTTAACTGAAAAGAGCCTGTTTTGCTGCTCAAATGCCGTCTGGTTAACAAGGGGTACCTCATTTGCTTAAACGAGTCATCTTATGCGTGACCCTGCGGACGTGTTGAAGAGCCTGCATGCAAATGGTTCCTTCGTTGAATGCGCAGGAGGTACCATGCGAAACTGCCTTGAGTTGCCTCGTGCATTTTACTCTGATTTTCCTCTAACAGAAATGCATGACAACGACAAGGATGGGTCCGGATCGGTTGCATGAATCGGTAAGCCAGATAAGACTGATTTGATGCAGACTTTCGTGACAAGATGAAGGATTCCAAAAGACGTTTTAATTTAAGATACAATGGTTTCGACGCCATTTCGCTCCTCAAAGCAGTGCTACCGGCAGTACAAGTTCAAACAAACTTCGGCGCAAATTCGGGACGTAAAATATAAGCAAACAGCACTGTTCAAAATGGCAAAGTCATTTCAAAGACGAAATCTTTACAGCTTAGTAAGGAACATTGAGGCACATCTTTGGGCCTATTGTCCAAAGGTCGGTGGATGCTTCACTTTAACAAAAACTTCACGCTCCTTCGGCACGTAAGAATTAGCAACGAACGCCATGTTGAACCTAGGTATGTAAGTGGCGATGGTATCGGCTGGTGCCAATGATGGCTCAGTTAAAAAAGATCGCTGGAAACACATGCTTAGTCCATGTTCAAGTAACAAAAAACACGTCAGCTTCAGCCAGGGTTTTCCCCACCTCCGGCTTCCCACGTCGTCAAAACATGCAGCAGACCTCCACCCACCCTCTGGACTGCAGGATAAGCTGTGACAAAAAAAAAATGGGAAAATTCTGATCAAAAGGCTGATTTTAAGACAAAGTGACATCAAACCAAGGTCTTCCGAAATGGGATAGGAAGGGGCTTCATACTGGGCTGGGTCTTATTGGGGTGGGGTGGGGATTCATGCTGAGCTGAGTCCTATTGGAGCGGCGAGGGGCTCCATGCTGAGCTGAGTCTAATTGGAGCGGCGAGGGGCTCCATACTGGGCTGGGTCTAACTGGGGCTGAGAGGGGCTTCACGCTGTGCTGGGTCTTATTGGGGCGGGGAGGGGCCTTATTATGGCGGAGAAGAGCTTCATGCTGTGATGGGTCTTATTGAGGCGGGGAGGGGCTCCATACTGGACTTGGTCTAATTATGGCGGAGAGGGGTCTCGTGCTGAGCAGTGTCTAATTGCGCTAGCAGCTATGGATAGGTATGCAGCGTTGCAAAAATCAAGCTATCCGAATAAAGACTATTGCAACTTTGGTAGAAAGACTGGCGTTGCTCTGAGAACACTCGCGTGAAATCCCAAAACAAAACAAATGAATATCAGATGCATAGTGATTCGTTTATCGACAGGCCCTCGATTTCAGCCATGCATGTGACGCAGTTTCCCATGATGCTGTTTCTCGATTGTGACTTAAATGACTTTGGAGCCGCCTCCGTTGTACTCTGTACACACGACAGGAAGCCGCTTCCGTTGTACTCTGTACACAAGACAGGAAGCCGCTTCCGTTGTACTCTGTACACACGACAGGAAGCCGCTTCCGTTGTACTCTGTACACACGACAGGAAGCCGCTTCCGTTGTACTCTGTACACAAGACAGGGAGCCGCCTCCGTTGTACTCTGTACACACGACAGGAAGCCGCTTCCGTTCTACTCTGTACACACGACAGTCGGACACAGATCGTCCACATCGGCACAAATGCAGCACTTGACTGTGCCCACGTGCTGTCCAAACATGCGCCTCCGAGTTGGATCTCGAGCGCCTCTCGAGTTGTACCTCGAGTTGTATCCGAGTTGTATATTGTAGCTGAATAGCACGCACGTCCAGTTGCATACTAGCCGCTCTCACCCAACGATCGTCGTTATCGGTCTGTTTCTCGCTTCCCCACTTCAAGCTTGTGTGATTTTGGATAATATTTTTGCCTCGTTTTGCATAAGTCACCATTGGGTATCCCGAGGCTTAAACGACTTTCTCCGACTCGCGCCACTCACATGTGCACACGGGTGTAGCTTCCTATTCCGTTGGCACAAAACTCTTGCTGCCTCCCGACTTACCAGTAATTAGGTTTTTCGTGTATTTTGAGGGAAAATGTGTTCATTTTTTGTATTCAGTCTCCAACGTATTTTCCAAGACCGCCCTCTTCCCCCCCCCCCCGCATGAGCCCGTGTGCCTCTCTGCAAAGTGTCTCGAACCCCCACTCACACGCCGACACCCCTCCATCGCGATCTTCAAAGTCACACCGCTATCGTCCCGTCGTCGAGACGTCGCGCATGCGCAGAGCGTCGGCTGGCGCCGGTTGGCGGCGCGTCGGTTTCAGGTCACCTCACTCGGAGTGGCGTGCTTCGGCGGGCCGGACGGGCGGAGAGCAGCGCTGCAGCAGGAGAGCGCCCTCGCCGTGCCAGCCAGGTGGGTGATGCGCCCCAGCACCCGAGCCCGACCGGCCTATCCAGGTCACGGAAGGCAGCCTGCCGCCGCGTTCGGACGCCGGCGACAGAGGGGGAACCCAGGGACGGACGGCGCCGGCGGCCGACAGGTGTTTTCCGAGCGGCTGCGATGACTTGCGCAGTGGTGGGTGGGGTATGGTCGGTGGAAGGCGGTTTGGTGTGGTGGGGCGGGCTCCGTTTCAGTACTGACGTCCGTGGCGTTTGCAAGACGTGCCAAGTGGGCCAACGCGTCGTCATTCCCAAGCCCCAGCAGCGGGATGCGTTTCACTGTCACGCTCGAGTGTGTTTCACCGCTGCCAGCTGCACCGAGCCCGCGCCTCCTGTATTGTGTCGAGACCATATCTAACAGTGGCACCTTGTCCAGAGCCCATTGTTGCATGCACCACCAGCCTTCCCGGGAGCGTGGTCACGGTCCCCCGCCTGCGCACCGCGAGTCACGCTGCCACCCGTGGACAGAGGCCAGCCCAAACAGAGGGACTCGATCCGTAACCTAAACTCGGACCCGATCAACCCGCTCCATCCGGCGCGCGGTGCACCTGTGGGGAGCGCCGCCGTTCTCCCCACTGGCTGCCGTTGAGAGCGTTCTGTAAACAGAGGCTCCTGGGCGCAACGCGCGCTGCTTGGCGTTCTCCGACAGAGCGCTGTTAGTGGGCCACGCGCGGCCGTGTGGGAGCAATCAGTTACGCCCGCGCAGAGACGACTGGGCCATGTGTCAATTACAGCGCCGGTGGGGCAATCTGTCACCTTGAGCCCGGATGGCTCGGCGACGGCTCGGTGCCGCCGGAGCTCGACCTGCCCGCGCTCGGGCACCGCCCGCTCGCCGCTGTCATCCCAGCTGTCTCCGGAGGCGGCCGCACCGGCCGGTCACCTTTTGCTTTCGGTGGGCGGCCGGCAGCGGCCGGGCAGCGGCCGGTCCACGGCTGATCTCCCCGGAACCGGCCAACAGCCGGCAGCGGCGCCGGCGCCCACTTGCGATACGGGAGCACGTGGTGGCGGCCGGAGAAACCTCCGAGCCGCCCTGGACCGGGCCGCGAACCGGAGAGTGACACCGGAGGCGTGCGGCCGCCGGTCGTGCCGGCCGACCGCTCGAACGCTGATGGCCCTTTGTGCCGCCGGGTCGGAGGGTTCGCTCTGTGCAGCCACGCAGGGCACGCCTCGTGCCCGGAATCCCGCGCCAGGCGAGCGAGGCGTGGCGAAGCTCGCGCGCCTCTCATCACGGCGGCAAACGCGCCGTGCACGCGTCGCCAATCACTCCGCGCCGCTGCGCGCCTCAATTGGCGGCGACCGGGCATGCTGACGGCCGGCCGGCGACTCCGACGCTAAATAGGTCAGTAACACGCCGGCGGTCCGGCGGTCGGCGCGCGCCCGCGTGCGCCCGCCGCTGTGTGCTCCGGCGGCCTGACGGCGGCGGCGCGTGCCCGAGATCAGACTCTGGGCGAGGGGGGGGGGGGGGCAGCGCCGGCTCTCAGCAGCTGCCCTGCCCTGTGCAAACCCGCCGGGCCGCCGTCTGTCGTCTCTAGAAGTTGGTCAGGGCCTCTGCGGCGGCGGCGGCGGCGGCGGCGGCGGCGGTGGCGGCGGCGGCGGCGGCTGCCTGGGCTGCGCGTCGGCTGTATGATGGCGGTTCGGCGAGCGCGGACGTGTCGCAACCGTGTCGTTGTGTCAGCCGCACCGGATGACGTCCGGGCGAGCGCTCGCACGGCGGGTTCGCAGGGGCGCTCGGTGTGTCCGGGACCCACGGCCGCAGGGGCGCGACGGGGCACGCCGCTCGCCCTTTCTCCGGTCTGTGGGAGGTCTCTGCAGGCGTCGTGATGATCCTAGGGCCCTTCGTGACGGGTGTGGGCTGGAGATCCCGTCGTAAGCGTTAAGGCTTCCACCACCCAGCGGGTAAAGTTGAGAATGCTCGTTTTTTGCAAACCGGTTGCACAGGTGCCTTTGAAACAGTTGAAGCACTGGCAGATGTGTGCCAATGAATACTTCAGGAATTCTTGTGAGGACAGGTTTAGAGAGGGAGCTTTCTCTACCCACTATCCATGTTGAAGATAGCTTAGCCTGGCCACAAATGCACCTTAAACGCAGCGCGTAATCACAGCAGTCCTGAAATATTTCACAGGCTTTTCGCGTAATGTTCGCGTTGGTATAGCCCACAGGCCGATCTGAAGCGAACCGTGCAAGCGCTCCCAATGTCGACCACTGACGCCGCCAGGGCGAAACAATGCCATTCCGCCCGGCTGCTAGGTGGAGACCAGCCCCGCTGACACGGGTGGCGCTCGCTGTTGCGTTAGAAACTGGTCCGGCCTGATAGAGCAGCTCCTGAAGTTTGCGTAACGATGCGCCCGCCACAACCGTGATAGGACCTCAGCGTAGTCCTCGGATCGCTAGAGCATCTAGCCGTTGCCCAACAACGACAGTTTGTTTGTCAATGCGGTCATGGTCCCAGCGTAATTAGTCCAGCATCTTTCTGTACGTAGTCAATTAGGCACCGAAAATGGCCTGGAATACAAAGTGGGAGGGGCTGCGGTTGTCAGCAATGTTGCCAGTCACCTCGCAGTCCTGTTGTTCGCTTTGCAGTGTGGGATCTCAGGTGGAACTGAAAACCTCCCTCGCTTTCGTCCCAGAGGCTGGTGTAAATAGGCGCACAAAATGCTGCAATGCTGGCTCAGATTACAGGCAATGGATTGAAGGCTTATCCCCCCCCCCCCCCCCGATGCACTGTTACTGTCCAGGAATGGAGTCTTGTACTTTTGAAATACGTTTACACTTATCTCGCCGCACTAAATATGCTGAAAGAACATACAGTAATGTTGTCTCATTCTCCTTACTTGTTCGCAACAGATCTCGGAAATTGTGAAACACATGGGTAGTCAAAAAAAGAGAAAAAATGCGCCTATTTGTCATCATTCAGCACGCGTGCAGGTATTTCCATCATGCATTTCCATCACGCGTCGAAACGCTGTCGTCAGCTGGTATTTTTCTAAGGTGCCCAGAGCGAGAGACATTTTCTGGAATCGGCATGGTCATATCGATATGGAATCGATGAGAATAAACCCTGAAATCGATATCGGCCGAAGGACACGAGGGACGTGGGATGGGGGGTCGGCGCCGTTACCCTCACGCTCAACGTGGGGCTGACAGTGAGGTCAGCAACTTTCAAAGATGTCCCGCCAGCCCGGGGTCCATGACCTTCGCGCCAGGCAGACCATGCCGTCGCCCCAACCCCAGTGCTCCTATCTGGACGTCTGACGTCATCATACGCAAGACACCGCGGCCGAGGCCGGAAGAAGCCAGTCATCGCGGTAACGCGCACGCGTGAGCCGCCTTAGCATCTCGGGGTAGCCGACACGCCCCCGCGCGGCCACTCTGGAGAGGCTTCGTTTCGCTCGGGAGCAAGACTGGCCGGTTCGAAGATGGTCCCGCACTAGTCCGGCCAGGATTGACTTAAACGCACGGCTAGTCCGCCACCTTGCAGGTATACCTCATCTTACCCTGCGCGACGACGCGTTGATCGTGGACGACGCAGCGATCAGCACTCGTACGGAGCCTGCGGTGCCGTCCAGGACGGAGCTGCAGTCATCCGCTGTGTGTCTGCCCGTCTGCTGTCTGTGTCTGCCTGTCTGCTGCCCGCGGTCAAGGCCTCCTGCTCGTGGTCTGTCCTTGTCCTGCTCGTAGGTTGGCCCTCCGTCCTCGCCCCGTCTTCTGGCCGGTGGTCCCATTTTCTGCGCAGCTCCCGTTTGTCGAGCCAACACGCATCTGTTGTTGGACTTGACCACGCTCCAACTGTTCTTCTCACTTACCCTATGTCTTTTGAAGTTTTTGTGGTTCATCCACAGCTATGGTCTTACATCGCCATTCAGCTTTGTGTTGTTGTCGACCCTGGAATCTCACGCGCTCTGACCTCCGATGTTTTTCACCTCTTTGTTGCCTTCCGTGTCCTCCGGTTGTCTTCGCATTGAAAGTTTTCGATCCATTCCTCGCAACAGTGTAGCGGAAAAGGACGTCGGAATACCAAACAAACTTACACCCATGCTTCACTCCTGGAATCCAGGTCGCCCAGATCATACTAGCTCTCCAGAAACAAAATTGCAGGGGAGCAGGCTGCTCACGGGAAAAGAAAACCAACTGAGCCGAGTGTGTCTCGTCACACTCAGCTGACACGTTAGAAGTCCGTCTCTTTTACACCCTCGCTGAATGAGCAAGTGTTTGCAGATGACCAGATAGTGACGTCCCCATGGTGACCCGGCACTGAGGCACGTGCGTGCCTCCCGTGACCTCCTCCCGGTGGCCGCCGCGGGACTGTGCGTCAGGAGTGCCGCACGACCGCGCACCGTTATGGCCGCCGCGCGCCGCTACTCGCCTCCAGCGCTGCGGCGCAGTCGTGGAGACGGACCGCCGGCCGCACGGCCGAACACGGCGGCGGAGAGCCCAGCGACTCCGCCGGGCTCCAGAGACGGGCCCAGCGACTCCGCCGGGCCCTAGGAAAGGACCTCCGGTCGCACGGCCGAACACGGCGGCGGAGAGCCCAGCGACTCCGCCGGGCTCCAGAGACGGGCCCGGCGACTCCGCCGGGCTCCAGAGACGGGCCCAGCGACTCCGCCGGGCTCCAGAGACGGGCCCAGCGACTCCGCTGGGCTCCAGAGACGGACCCAGCCATTCCTCTGGGCTCCAGGGAAGGACCGCCGCCGGACGGAGCTTGACACTTGTGAACGTGTGCTGTCGTTGAGCGCGAGAGGGGAGCGGGTCCCTAGCGAGCGGCACTGCCCCTGGGTCGCTCTTAAGGAGCCGGAAGGTGTTGAAGCCATCTATTACATAAACTACACTAATAAACGCATGCACCGCATACATCGCTGCTCATTGCTGGTTAGTCGGTTATGACCGAAACGCTTTAGCGCTTTTCCGCGCATCGGCTTAACGTAGTTATTTAAAGTACGTCATATTGCATGAAGTTATATCTCCTGAAATGAAGAT